GTGTGCGTGTGTAATGGGTTACCACGTTACCAGACTTAACAATACGACAGATGTCCTTCGTGTCAATGTGTGTATGTTCTGCGTGTAAGTCTATAGTAGCCAGGTGCCACAGTCGTTGGTTTAAGAGACTGTGTCTGTCTTTTTTTCAACGACCTTGGAACTGAGTAAGATCATTTTATATAATACTAGCTTTTACCCGCGGCTTCGTTCGCGTCACAAAAGGATAAAAAACCAATGTGACATATACCAATACACACAGCGCCATCTATACCAATACTTTTGTTTTCCCTCGGGAATATCAAATTTTTCAGTGATAAAAAGTACCCTATTATTTAATCCGGACTTCTAACTTTACGTCTGCAAAATTTCAAAGCAATCGGTTTAGTAGTATCGGCGTTAAAGTGGAACAAATAAACAAACTCACTTTCCGATTTATAATATAAGTAAGGATAAATCGCGGGTTACTCACGTGAATATACTGAGCAAGTAGCAACACCGATGCGAGCGCCAACGCTAGCCGTGCTATGCTGCTCATGAGGAAGAACCCCTCTGTGGTTCGAAACTAGTAGAGCTGTTCTCAGTATATTCACTTGAGTAACCCGCAGTTTTAGTTAATTTAGTATGTCTCACGATAGTTATTATAAAAAGATCAATTTATGACAGAAATATAAATTTAAATGTTTTTTGGCCGTTAATCGACCCATAAGTGAGGATCTATCAACTTATACCCACAGAAAGAATAGGGGTGGGAATACAAGTAATATCTTCTACGTTCACATTCATTAACAGCTTGTTCTTTACAGTGCAGTGACGAACGTACAATATTCTTATTAAATAATTAAAATAAAATTATCGTCTATCACATAATAAAACTGTTTACTCATTCCAAACTATAGACTTTTGCGCAGAAGAACGAGCAAGAAACTCCAGTCAACCTCCGTGGAGATACCACAGACAAAGCGTTTAAGAAAACCAAATTCTTTGAAATGACATCTGGAGATGACAGAAAGAAAAACAAGAGCATATCGTAGTGCGATCGTGGTGTAATAATTTTAAGTTTTTATTTGATTGTTCATCGACATATACATGGTATCATGCAAGGAGCGAATTTTATAATTAGTAGCCAATGTTATTTATCAATTTTGTATGGTAAGTCCGCACTTATGATTTTTTTCCATCTCATAATCTTCGGCCGTTTGGTCAAATCGTTTTTCATAATCCATCTAGAATAACTCAATTATATCTGTACTAGTTTTATTCGCATTTTCCTGAGAGAATTTATCTTCTGAGATTTTTTCAAAATTTTGACAGTTACTGCAAAAGAACATTTCAAAAATGGACCTCGTCCATTATTCAATTCTACATGTCAAAGTCTAATTTTGAAAAGAATCTGTGACCCTCGAGGGGGTCTTTTCAAATGTAGGTGGGCGACTGGGTACTGGTGACGTGTCATGGGTTTGGTTCTCGTACAGAGCGAGCCCTTATGTCATCCACAAATTGTTGTTTCTGGTCTGGGTCTGATATTGTGTACGTGCACTCACTACACGTAAAGAATGAAGATCCTGTCTTAAATCATGGAGGCTTCACATTTTTAAAATATAGATCTCTATTTTTAGACAACACATCAACAGCCTATAAGTGTCTGCTGACCAAAGGCCCCTTCTCACACGGAGAAGGTTTGAGCATTTATCACCATGCTTGCGCTATGCGGTTTGGCGATTTCAAACTTATAATTAGGATAAATAGACATTATAAGCCCGGGCTTCCTCACGATCTTACCGTTTGTCAGTGGTGTCATAATGTTAGAAAGTATGTATATATAACTCGGAAAAAGTCACACTGGTAGCTGCTATTAGTATGGTAGGTTTCGAACCCTCATGTATGAGAAGCGGGTGTCTAAGGGCTTGTACACAAAACTGCGATGCGATGCGATGCGAATTCGCAATGCAGAAAATTACGACACAAATTACACCGATGCGATTTTGTGCGACAAGGCATCTCCTAGGGTGACCATTGCTTCAATGACCTTTTGTACCTTTACCTTGTACCTTTTGTCTATAAGATAATTCTTTTTTTTATATATATTTCATGGGCTGACTTTCGACCAATATCTCGCCTGGTGGTAAGCAATGATGCCAGCTAGGTAAAGTGTGGGAGAGCCATGCTTCGGCACGAATAGGCCGGCTCGACCGGAGCGATACCACGGCCTCACAGAAAACTAACGTGAAACAACGCTTGCGTTGTGTTTCGTCGTGTGAGTGAGGTTACCGGAGGCCAAATTATCCCCCTCCCTAATCTCCCGAATCCCCGAATCCTCCACAATCCTAAAATTCCCAATTACCAAAAGGCCCGTAACGCATTTGTAACGCCTTGGTGTTCCGGGTGTCCATGGGCGGCGCCGATTGCTTACCATCAGGTGATCGGTCAGCTCGTTTACCTTGATTGTCTTGTGGTACGACGATGGAAAGCACTAGAGGGAATCAAGTTGTGCAATTCCCCCGTACACTCACCGTAATGTACCTATCCGGTAGGAAACCAAAAGGCTTGCAATCTTACGCCTGTATTCGAAGCTTTAAGGCCGGGCCTCCACAAGAGCATCATCGTTGATGAACCTCTTGGCACGCATCTCAATCTCTTAAAATTTAAGAATTGAAATTTATTGTTTGTATTGAATACAAATAATATTATAACATCGTTGTATTGGCTGTATAAAATTTTCTTAGTCACGTTGCGTTCACGAACTAATTGAAGAAACAGGTACAACTTTATGAACCAATCTCTTACTAATATTATAAATGCGACTGTTTGTGTGTTTGAATAACGGCTGAAGGGATTGGGATGAAATTTAGAACACGGATAGATCATGGTCTGGAATAACAATTGGCTATATAACAATATTTTATATCCCACGGGAACGCGGGCGGAAGCTAATACCTTAAAAGATGACAAACTATTTTAACTAAAAATCGCTGGTTACTCACGTGAATATACTGAGAAAAGCTCTACTATTTTCGAACGACAGAAGGTTCTTCCTCATGAGTAGGCTGCGCGACATCGCCGCGACTGTGCACGCTAATTTAGTATGGTCTCACGATAGTTATTATAAAAACACATAAAGTTAACAAACCCTTGACACAGACAGTTACAAATAATTGCCATTTAATTTTAAACCATATTTTTAACAGCGTAAAATATACAACTATTTTTACTAAAAATTATTTGTATTTACGTTTTTTTTTTAATATTGTGAAGATTTTACTGAGATTACTAATAAGGACCGATTTTTAATTTATCTGAGGAATAACTTTGAATATTTGACAATTCGTCCATACTGAAATCTGTCAAAATCCAATTTTATTCTACAGAATTTACAGATGATTGAAAAATCGGCGCTTAAATAATAAAATAGATAAATAAATGACCTGCTTTGGTGCGCAAAACAATATGCTTTTATTGAAATAAAAACAATATTTTATGGAATAAGGGCTCGTTCACAAAACTGCGATGCGTCGTCGCATAGCAAAAATGTGCGAGCTCCCTCTACGCATCGCAAGAACTTGCGAATTGATTCGCATCGCGCATCGAAATCTTATCTTCCCAAAATCTTCTTTGTTTCTTTTTCCTGTATCTCCTAAGCAAAAACAGAAGTACACTTTTCTTTTTACGATCCATGTCACGACCTAGGTTTCAATTTAAAATACGTTTAGTACGGTTGACGGTCGTCGATGGAATGGTCACCCTGGGAGACGCCTTGTTGCACAAAATCGCATCGCAGCAATTCGCATCGTAATTTTCTACGTTGCGAACTCTCATCGCATCGCATCACAGTGTTTTATGTACGAGCCCTAAGGAGCAAACGAGTAGACGGATCACCCAATGGTAAGCAATCAGCGTCGCCCATGAACACCTGGACTAGAAAAAAGGAGGTTTTATTTTCCCTTCTATTTAGGTTAAAACTCTTCCTTCAAGTTACTTAGTTGAAAGCAGTTGTAGATTTTATAGCCAATAGGCCTTCTCGATGTCGCGGAGAACCTAACGGGTTACCGGGGCTCCGGCTCGACGTGCAGGAGTAGGAACGGGGTGGTTTTTAGTCAGTAAGAGTCTGACACTCCCTCCCGCCTCACCCAGGCGGGAGCAGTTATTCGATGATTTTCCTCTCTTAAAAAAAGCCTTTCTCGGTAAATGAGCTATACAACACAAAAATAATTATTCAATTGGTACGAGTAGTTCCAAAACTATGAGCGTTGAAACAGAGAAACTATTCAACTTTATATAATACTGGTAGCGCGTCTCGGCTTCGCACGGGGTAAACAATTATTTATTTTTGGAAATTTGGATTGCTGTAGTGACATAACTACAATAGTTGGACATATGCTACCGCGGAGTTTTTTGTAGACATTATGATGTTCTTCAATATTGTTGTACATTATTTTGTTCTATCGCTAATAGTTTCGGCAGCGCATTCTACGAAAGACATTTTAAGACTCATTTTTCTACATCTTCGGTTACATTGTTCAAATTTTACCAAGGATCCCTAATTTTTTTCGAAATGAAATGTAGTCTATGTTAAATTGGAAGAATGTAGCATTCTATTGGTGAAAGAATTTGTTAAATCGGCCCAGTACTTTTTGAGCCTATTCATTACAAACATACAAATATACAAAAATAGGTACAAATCTTTCCTCTTTATAATATTAGTATAGATTATATAACGCTGAAGAGATTGCTTGTTTGTTTGGACGCGATAATCTCAGGAACTGTTGGTAAAATTCTTTAGCTTATAAAACATCACGTTACGGTAAATGGGAACCGAACTGAGCTAGTGAAACCGCGCGGCAGTAGCTAACTTTTTTATATTTGTCAATTAATAAAATACATCAGCATAACTTAGTCTTTTTTATTACTGAAGGTATCGGAAAGATTCACGTAATAATATTAATGTAGGTGCAATAAGCGACCTTATGGCTTAGTTTGTTCTAGAACGGACAAAATGTAAAAGAACCAATCTTCTGTTTCAGTTTATTATATCTGATGGTGCATGTTGACAGCCACACTATATCTAAAAGTATTGATAACGACCAAAGAGTAGATGATATATTCGACTCTATCACCGACTTAGAAGGCACGAGAAGCCCCAAGCAGAGGAGAGACAGGATACAACACAAGTACAGGTCAGACTACAAAGATGAATTCGTGAGACCCGAGTATGTCTTCAAAGACACCAAACTGTACTCAGATACAGACAGGACGACCCAAAAAGCGAGCCCAACGCCTTCCACGGAACACTCCAAACACCACAAGTCACCAAAACGGAGAGTTGGAAGTTTCTGGAGGAAATTCAGAGGCAAAGATAAAAAGATCAAACATGACAATAATTCAAGGAGTCGAAGAATATCGAGTAATCGGGAGTTTGCACCAAAGTATACCATCACTGCAGTTCACCGCTCCAGCCTACTCAAGAATAAGAAGAAAAATAATAATCCATTCACCCCACGCCCGGAAGGTGGACGTGGGCTGGGTACCCCACACCCACCTGACGGCAAATATGTTAAGAGGGACCTCGATACTGCGAACACCGAAAATCTCCTAGCTATTGCGCACTCTTCAACCGTTGCGCCAACATCCAACAATAATCCTTACTCGTCGCGCTCCAACTCCAAGCTACGAATCGGCATAACGCCCCAATTCGACAACATGCAGAAAAATAAATTCAGAATAAAAACTGTAGAACCTTACAAGATGACGGAGAGGGTTGTGGACCCGTTGGAGAATTCGGAGGCAACGCAGAGCAGTGACATCGGTTCTTTAGAGACCTTATCTACGCAGCTGGCGCAGTTAAAAGAGAAATATGGGTTGACTAAAGCCACTTCGACCTACACTTTATCGGCATCAAAACACAGAACAGAAACTTCGACTCCCAAAAGTACGACGGCCACTGAAGGAGACTTTGCAGGCACGGCACAAATAGAAGCATTGCTAGACGATATCAAGATGAAAGCCATGGCAAGGATTACTCAAGAAAGTCCCATGGTGACCGATATTATCACCAACACTGTCACTGAGGCGACTTTCGAAGTTGACCATCTACTCTCACAGGCCACGCCAGGATATAACAAGGACGCTATCGAGGCATCAAATGATATTTCCAATCGTAATGCTAAAAGGACCGTTTCGTCTGAGGATGAAAATAAAATCTATCTAAAAGACGCTACATCAACACCTAGTACAGAGTCTCATTACGTAGCTGCTCGGTCGATCAAGGAAGACACAATAACTATGGCCCACAATGTTGAAGATATGTTGCAGAGGGAACTGAAGAACATTTACAATAAAGTTAAACATAAAGTGTCCAGCGATTTCCGTAAAGAAATTAATAAAGCTAAATGCACGATTAAAGAAGGTCTTCATAAAATATCTACTTGTGGTAAATGTAGCAATATTACCACCACTAAGTCAACTGTAAGAATGACAACCCCTACAAAGAAGGCACAGACAGTTAGTCAAAGCCACAAGTCTGTTGCTACAGAGAGAGAAAAGGCAACGTCCAGACATGCCCGGAACACTCCGACACTTAAGACTTCTTCAAAGTCAGATCTAGAATTCACGAAGGTTACTTATGATGACTATGTGATGCTGACTCTATACGAAGAGATGCTAGCTAAAACTCACGAAGAAAACGTTAGAAAAATGCTTGCGACTGCTAACGTAACATCGAAGAAGAAGAGGAGGCACCATATCAAGTTGTCCAAGAGAAATCCTGAGACTCTCACTAATGTCAAACTTAGGGAAGTGGTTGAGAAGTTATACGATGATGGCGGTAACATGCCTGAATATGATTATATAGAGCCATCAATAAACATAAACATGTCAATGCCGTCTTCTGACATGCCAGACTTAGATAGCGGGTCCCTAGAACCGGTGGTTGTACCAGACACCGTTATGGCGGAACCAGACCAACACATCCACAATTCAGTCCCCTCCTCAACGGTGTCTGGCACTCAGGAAGACCTATCTGACACTAGTTTGGAAGGGTTGAGCAACAAGATATCGTACAACGACTTCGTGAACGGTTACAAACACTACCTAAAATTTCAGAAAGAGCAAAGTAATCAGAACTTTTCCAACTTAGTGAAGTACCAGGCTCACAGGCATCATAGCGTCGATGATATTGGAAAATTTATTCTTAATAAGATTCCTCCGTTGCCCTCTCTAAGGGGAAAAAGATTTTTGGACGAGACTGACATGGATTACCAAGAGATCACTACCAAAAGTGACGATTCTTGGTTTAAAAAGCACTTTTACCTCTTCATTGACAACGGTCCACCGAAAAAGTTTCACACAGCTCAAACTGTAGAGCTGAAATCTGCTGCAACTGAAGCGCCGAAGACATATGTGACGAATCCCATGTTACCTCAACCTGTCCAAAAAGACCAAGTTTACATCAGCATAGGTGCAGATGAAGGACAGGTAGGACTTAGAACTACTACCATGGATACATCATCGATGAATTTGGAAGATCTCTCGAAAGTTTTGGATTCCATCAAGAGCAAGCAGACTATAAGCCCCTACTTGAGAGGTACGATTTTTTCTAATAATTTACATTTCTAAAACGTGTTTTCTATCGGCGTATCTATGTAATGCATGTGGTACATTTCCCGCTGTAAGCGCAGCGTCTATAAATGTAACTAATTTTTTAATATCGTAAATATTTTTTTTCGGTTCTAGGTTTAAAAACATATAGCAAGCCTTATGTCATGCCCAACGTCACTGTCACAGAAAATGCCATTCTGCAAATCAGAATGATGCCACAGAATGTTATTGGAAAACTTTTCGGAGGGAATCGAAGGCAGGCCCATCCAAGAAACCGCTGGACTTATTCAGATGACTGGTCACCTATAGATATGTTTACAGAGACCCCTTCGAACAGATGGAAGAGAACAGTGAAAGGTAGCGTCACTATAATGGAAGATTTCATCAACAAAGACCTAGAAGAGAAACCGACTACAGGATCGAAAGAAGTTTTCGCCGAACCAGCCATCAAAACGAGAGAAACGAACAAATACGGATACGTTGACATAGATCTAGTGCCGAGACAAACGGCGGTCGTGAAGCTACGGGAGAACACGAAAAAGAGCAAATTCAAAAACTTTTTTAAAAGATTCCGTTTTAAGAAAAGCAAAGGCAAAGCTAAGCAGAATAAACGCTCCGCAAACGGCTATTACGGGGATGACACCTACGGCTATGGACATAGACGATCAAGGTTCAATCCTATAAAGAAGTTAAAGGATATGTTTCATGTGAAACCTGAGCCTGGAAAAGAGGAGAGTCCGGTGTATAACATGCCGCCTAACATGCCGCCTAACATGCCCGATTACGACATGATGACGTCACACATAGATACGTTCAAGCCTGTAAAGTATGACAAGCCGATGTCGCTTGATGAGATGCAGAGACAGATACCTAACATAAGCGATATAGATGCCCTAGCCACGAAGCCGACGACGGGGCTCACTTCGTTCCATTATCGGCTGGACGAGAGTGACAGCGCCTTATTGTCTAATGACCATGCTTCTTCCCCCATGCCTTCATTGCCGGAGCAGAAGGTGTACTCTTCAACTCCTCAAGCAACTCCACAAGTATTGGGTAAGTTTCCTGCATGAATTTTTTGAAAACCCAGTAATACTTAGTATTATTTGAACCTGTCTTAATGTCTCTTGCTTAGTAAAATTACTGATGCAACCGTTTCTTTTCATCTTCCCCTTCGAGTTTTATGAATCTTAAACCGCTTTTTTAATTAGTTTCATCAGATGTTAATGATAGGTTCCTATCATAAGAATTTATATCATAGAGATAAAAACAGAGCCGTCCCGTTCGACGCGACGGTAACCGAAGGCTCTGTGTGACGTCGTCCGTAATATCTAGTACATGCACTACTCCTCAGTGTCGCGTCACCGTCCCGTCTCGCCGCGCCGCGTCCACTGTGTCCTTTAGGCAAAATTATTCCCAGTCGATGCCAAAAAAAGAAATATTTAGGATATTGTCTCTAGAATATAACTTAGGTGTCTTCAAGTCCCGAGTGAACAGGTTGCTCATAGGTAGGCGTGCTCCATCGTCGGCCACATCATCGCTTACCACCAGGCGAGATGGTGGTCAAACGTCGACCTATTAAGTATATGAAAATAAAATTACATCTGGTAATATACAGGTGTCCCTGAAGTCGACGGTCAAATAGTACCAGGTTAGCAGATTGGCAATTCAGACAAAAAAATAAAGAATTATAGTAACAAGAGTCCAAAGACAGGGTGTACTTTTTTGTGGATAACACGTCATTGTAATTTAAAATCTATGACTTAGATTTTATTCTATATTTTTCTGATAACTGTTGGAATCTTGCCGATCACCTGGTGCCATTTGATCGTCGACTTCAGGGACACCTTGTATTTGTGATCCGATTTTCATCAGAAACATTACCTGTGTTCAGAGGTGGATTGACCCTGAAGAGTAATAAGTACCCCTAATATTTCGGATGCCACCGCAATTCTGAGGGTAGTTGGTTGTAACCTGGCGCCTTGGGCTCTTGCCTAGTTTGTTTCAGGGATAATACGGCTCTGTCTGGGTTAGGAGCTATAATATGTTTCAAAACAATTTTAAAATTTGTATTCGTTTATCAGACTTGCCAACTGACTGGCGTGAGGCAGCTGTGGCAATCACTGGCCAAACCGTGAAGACAGGTAAATATTTGAACTAGTTGTCATTCAATCAATTTGGATATATGTATAACATGTATAATAAATAGATGACTAAATTTTATTTTAATGTCCGTCTGGTAGATTATTTTAAAACATACACACATATTTTTTATTTTTTTACAGAAATGAATACTTTCGACGATGTATTGATTTGAAATGTCGCGTGACGTCACTTCTATGTCCCTTTTATACGTAGAAATGACGTTTTAGCCCCCACCCCTAAACTTTGATTTGTTATATCTAAGTATCATTTTATACTATACATAAAAAATACGTGTCTAATATTGTTTCATTACCTAACTGACGGACTAATTAGATTTTTAATTTTCATACCCTGTCATCATCTCTATTGTCAATTCTATATAGCACACTCCTCCTTTGACTGTGCATTACGCCTTTCCTTTAAAAGGTATGAATCATGCTGACTATAAGAAACAGCTGGAGCAATAAGATCACCTGATCCTTACTGTTACTGAACATTTCCAAAAACCCAAAAACACATCAAGTCTTTGTCCCTCTATACAAAGACAAAAAACTGTTCACAGCTCAAAAGGACCCGACACCGTTAACATCAGTAGATAAAACCACAACATCAGCAACTACAAAGTCTACTACTATTACTACACAAGCGACGACCACCATCAGACCCACAGAGGACAATGTCAAGAAGACCAACATTCACTTCAATAAAATCACCAAGACACTGAAAACAACAGTCCAGCAGAGGCAACCACCAAACAATGTGATGACTGTTAACCTAAAGACGTTGAAAACACCCAAAACTAAATCCACCAGAGTCTCAAAAGTCACCAAGCGGAGTACTACAACCATGACCTCCACCTTCACTACCACCACAACTCCTGCTCCTCCTCCTACAACGCAATCTACTGAAGTATTTAAGGCTGAACCTGCTCAACTGTTCAGAACTAGTCCCTCAGACCTATTTGATAGATACTCCACAGACCTGTTCGACACAGAGGCCCCACATGTCATGACGTTAGATGATATAAACCTCATACTACGAAACATTCAACACAAACTCCAAAAATTTACATCAACCGAGTATCCTAAGATATCGACGAACTTCTTCAAAAGAGGAACTATGTATGGCAGGAAAAACTATAACATTCCAGTATCGATACCTAAGCCACCAAGGGAAATTGAGGAGCTGACGGTCAAAACAAAATTGACAAGGATCGCTAAATTCCCAATTACAAAACGGCAGTATAAAGTAAAAAATGTACAAGAAATACCAGTACACGATCAAAGCGATTACCCCGATTACATCAATGACGAACATGTTAAAGAGTACCCACGTTTAAGAAATAGGAATTCAGTCGCAGACATGAAAGTTGCCGGAAAACACAAGCAGTTTTATTCTTCTACGCCCAAAGAGAGATCGGGCAAAAAGAAGTACACAGACTTCTTCAATGACTTATTGATGTGGCACAATGATATACTGAACCTAGACAAAGTACCGAGCCCAGTGTGGAACGATATCTTGAACAAAGTTCAGGCGAACACTGTGGAAAGTTACACAACTCCAAACATGACCGACATTTTGAAGGAATTAAAGGAAATGAAGGAGTACTTGGCCGAAGCCGACCTGGCTTCAGTTGGGACAGCAAACCATTCACAGAAGATGGAGCCGTTGCTGCAGATGGCGTATACTGACATGCGGAGGCGTCCTAAAGTACATAAGCAAGGAATGATACAGAGCGTGGCCATGGATGATAATGCAATAGTGACGAGCAAAGATTTTTTGATCCGAGGCGAAGCGAAGTACTACCAGTATAACAGGCCTGGCTTAATTGCGAAGAAGATAAAGTCCAGTGATTTTATCACGAAATTGGACAGACTTGGTGCTTACGATGATGAAAAAATTAGCAAAGGTACACTAAAGATTCCCTGTCATTGTACAACTAAAGTAGTCTTAATTTAGTAGTACCCACATGGCAGTATCGAAACCTGCAGCATTATAAAAAAATCAGTAGTTTGTAAAGTTGTTTCTCCGGAAGTCATCATCGTCAACCCATTCCGGTTCACTGTCGAACATAGCATTACCTTCCAGAACCCCACTGAAGTTGATATTCAGGTTCTAAATGTATTTCATAACAGAACGATATAGATGTTGCCAGAAGTACGTCTACCTACATGTTAAGTTCTTCGGTTTTAGATGTTCCTAGACATTTAGATCCTTCTTCTCCGTTCTACGACACGAAAGAGCCCGCGATCCTAGTTGACACCACTCTCATGGCATACGACGATGACGCTGATTCCATAACTAAAGGGTTAGAAGTCAAGAAACTGTGTAAGTATACTAAACATATATTTACATGTAAACAACAGCTCATGTAGTGCAGAGATTGTCCAGTCAACAAGGATGTAGCGTAGACTGTCCAGGCGACACACGTACTTAGGTATCGTCATGAGCTAATGTTCACATGTAAACAGCAGCTCATGTAGTGCAGAGATTGTCCAGTCAACAAGGATGTAGCGTACTGTCCAGGCGACACACGTACTAAGGTATCGTCATGAGCTAATGTTCACATGTAAACAGCAGCTCATGTAGTGCAGAGATTGTCCAGTCAACAAGGATGTAGCGTACTGTCCAGGCGACACACGTACTTAGGTATCGTCATGAGCTAATGTTCACATGTAAACAGCAGCTCATGTAGTGCAGAGATTGTTCAGTCAACAACGACTTCTTAAAGTGTTAAATTTCTTTGCGCCGATTTTATTACTATGTGTACCTGATCTATCTTCTTGGTAAAGATTATTGACATATTATTTACAGCTAGAGATTCGCAGAAATCTAACAAGGTTCCTAAGAAGCATGGACAGGCAGTAAGTAAAAGTTTTATATTTACTTTCATATCAATAACTGCATATCATTAACAATGAACTCAATGTTATAGTTCACACCATTTTTGAAGACAAACAAACCACCAATGCAGTACTTCACGACGCCGCTACCGATGAAATCGAACGAATTTAATAAGTTCTTGAAAGAACACATGATGGACGTTGAGTCTGTTACCTCACCGACACTCGAGCTACCAACCTTTAATAATAAGTGGGTCACTAGACCACATAAATATCCTACTAGCACAGCTTTGAAGTCTCAAGCTGCAGTCACTAAAGCAAGTGTTCAAAAACTAGCAAAAATTGACAGCTTAAAAAAATTGAACAGTGAACTACTGAAATCTATCAATTACACCAGCCAGCTTATGGTGAAAGCCAAGCCGGCTGATCACCATCAGCCTTCACCGCGGCCACAAGCAAACAGTAAAAAAGATTCGTTTGTAGATGATTTTGATAGACAAAAAAGGTACAGTGAGGTCAGTAAAGTGCCACGAGTCGCGTCAGTGAAGACAGATAAGGTGACACATGAAGCCAACTACTATAACATGATAAAGAAGAAAATGAAAGAAAGATTGTTTGAGAAGAAAGGCACGCCAGCAGAACGCCCGTCACTTGAAACGGTCACACTAGATCCTCGGAACAAAGAAGTAGAAATCACTATAATAAATTTTGATGATATTGAAAAACTAACTACGCCGCAGACTTACGAAACGTATGCATTGCCAGCGATAAAGAAAGAAGATAGTAATTTGATGACCATCCCCCCGTACTCGACAGAATTAGACAAGACTACAATGACAACACCACCACCAACAACATCAACGACTGAATTTGGGTCAAAATTCGACTTTGGTGTAAAAGATGAAATGCATAATGGTTTACTTTACAAAGACATTTTTAGAGAACACGATAAAACGACAACGACATCAACAGAATTTTCTACGCAGGACAGTAAAAGTACAACTGAGTATGTGGATCCATCTATGAATGAAACTCCATCGACCACTAAAATAAGGTACCCATTTGAGAAGATACCACAGCTGTACCCAAATATTTTGGGGAAGATGCCACATGTGAAGAATTTCAACGCTGCTCCTAAGAGAGTGCAAATCAGTAGCCACCACTACAAATACGATATCTTCTATGATGACACCAGGAAGATTATGAAGTCGTCTGGTTTTGACTGTAAGTATGAGTACATACAGTTTTGAAACTGGTTCATAATTTTTTATAAGTATATTTCTGTTGCTTTTTTAACTCCTGAATCAAAACCAATGTCCTAAAATTTTCCATTTTTCATATCACACACGAATGATCGACTGCACGGTTGGTGCAGTGGTTGGGCAACTGCCTGCCGCGCATCGTGTTGCGGGTTCGATTCCCGTATGGAACAGCTCTTTGTGTGATCCATAGATTGTTGTTCCGGGTATGTGAACTTGTATGTTTGTAAACGCACCCACGGCACAGGAGAAATTCCTAATATAAATAAATAAATATACTGTCGTGTAACAAGTAATGACAGAAGTCTACGATTTACTAGGTGACTTGGCGAACTTCGTACCGCCTATATACTTTTTCTCAGCTTTTAAACCTCCCCTGGACTTTCATGAACATTTTAAGACCAAAATTAGCCAAATCTATTCACCAGTTCTCGAGTTTTAGCGAGACTAACGAAAGGAGATTCATTTTTATTTACATAGATTAACAATTTTTGTGTGTCGTGTGTCGTGGTGGCCCAGAGGTTTAAGACGCCCGCTTCTCATGCATGAGGGTGCAGGTTCGAAACCTACCAACGGCAAGCAAGTAGTTATAATTTCTAATTATAAGTTTGTAATCGCCAACCCGCATTAAGCCAGCGTGGTGATTAATACTGAAATCTTCTCCGTGTGAGAGGCTTCGCTCAGCAGTGGGCATTTATAGGCTGTTGATGATGATGAACAATTTCTGTTTGATTTCTTCCCCAGATCATACTAAAGACCCCATGGACGCGGTAGCAGTGGGAAACAAGAGATCACAGCTGAGAGACAACATCGTAGTCCTTCGTCACCCATCTGCTCCCGGTCAGTAATATATATGTTTTATTAGCTTCTGTCATTGTTTCTATCGGATAAAAATTAGCCTATGTTATTCCAGATCATAATCGATTGTTAATTTCATCCAGATCCTTTAAGCCGTTCTGACGTGATTCAGTAGCAAACATAACACAAACATATAAATACATGTCAAATTTCGCATTTATCTTATACTAGCTTTTACCCGCGGCTTCGCTCGCGTCACAAAAGGAAAAAAGTAGCCTATAGTGACATATACCAATACACACAGCGCCATCTATACCTATTCTTTTGTTTTCCCTCGGGAATATCACATTTTTTCCGGGATAAAAAGTACCCTATTATTTAATCCGGACTTGTAACTTTACGTCTGCAAAATTTCAAAGCAATCGGTTAAGTAGTTACGGCGTGAAAACGGAACAAACAAACAAACTCACTTTTCGATTTCTAATATTAGTAAGGATAGTAAGGATGGTACACTTTTATACAAAGTTGAAAAATTTGTTTGTTTGAACGGGCAAATCTCATGAACTACTATACCGATTTGAAAAAATCTTCTTGTGTTTGATAGTCCATTTATCGAGGAATGCTTTAGGCTATAAAACATCGCGCTTCGATCAATAGGCGCCGGTTAGAACGGGTGAAACTACGCGGAAGTATTTATATTAGTAAAAAGTAAGATTTCACATTTCTAAGGGGCCCGTAGAACTAGTGCAGGACTTTGTCTTGCCTGACATCGTCATCATCATCAATCATCAACCATCATCTTTAAGTACCCACTGCTGAGCACAGACTTCTTCTGTATGGAAGTTTGAGCATTTATCACCACGCTTGCTCAAGGTCGATTAGCCCTCAATGTGTTTGGTTTAGGAACGGATTTTATTTTCGTTTTTTTTTTTAAGTGGGAAATTCATCGAATGATGATGCAGACTCCTGCACTTTGGCTCGGTAACCTTTTACGTTCTCCGCAGCTCAGCCCTATTGGGCCCCGTCCGTGGCTCTTAATGTGCGCGGAACGCGACGCGCGCGCTGTATGCTCGGGTCTGATTCTGGTCGGGTAGTGAGGTACCAATGCTCACCGTCCGCAGGCTGATGCGTGCGATAGCCGGAGATAATCCTTCGATACCTGACGCTGCCTCGATGCCTTGCCTTAATATAACACCATTTTTTAATATTTTTCTCAGTTCGAGGAAAGCAAGGCACGTCCATGAATTTTGGGAAGAGATCTCAACTGAAGGACAATTACCCCAGAGCGCCTACTAGTGAGTGTAATGTTTAGCGTATATATATTTGGACTTTGCAATAAAAATCATTGTCTTGAAATCTTACTTTTTCAATCATAAAATGACTACACAACGACCTACGGCTGGCGCTCACTGCCGACACGGTGTATCATGGCATGGCCAAGGACTTTAGAACTAATGAAGTTACTTTGAAGCTTATTTCAATGAATTTAGAGTTTAATAGTACTTTATTTCGACACCACGGTGCCACGGGATGCCCAAGAATAATCTGCCGTGCCATGCCAGCAGTGAGCGCCGACCTCAATGGTGCATTTTTAGATTTGGTTTTAAGATATCAAAGTTAATTAATAAATAGTTGAAACTGTCACGAATAAGTAACTCGTGTAAAGTTTTTAGAAAAGGCGAGACAAAGATTGAAGTAATCAGAAAAATCGACCGAACTGCGAAGAGGACCAGGCATATAAGAAGGGGTGAGTTCGATTTGATACATTGTTTAATATTACAACATTATGCAGCGCAATACAATATGCAGAGGAACATAACACAGCATAGCTCAACTCGCCAGCTCATTGACATTAGTTACAAGACGTCGACTGCTGAAGAAATGACTCCTCTACGTTCCCTTAGCTATCCACGTCGAACGCCGACTAGCTTCTTGTAAACAATCGCTTCGAGTTCAGCTCATTCCATAAACACATTACACAGTATAGGCATATTAGCTTAGCACATAACTCAGCGGCAAAAAACAGTACATCAAAGCATAACTCTGCATAACACAGAACAAAACAAAATAATCTAGAACACACCACACAAGACCACAACACACTGCGATAGCATACAATAAACACAGCACAGCATAATAACGTATGCTTAACAACGCAAGCTTAAACAGTTTCAGATACAGAAGTCACACGCAAGCATAGACTGTTTACGTGGCGCGGATGCAAACCGAAGCCAAGTGGAGGACTGTCAGCGCCGGGAGAGAATCCAGAAGACCAGTACACTGAGGAAGCACGGTCCTCCTTGAACCTCGGAGTCGCTGCGGTTAGCGTTGGGTTCCCCAACAGCGATGCCGTTACCGTGGGACCCGACAGCGGTGCCGTTACCGTGGGACTCCGTAACGTTGCCGCCTCGGTGGAACCTGACATCACCATACTCCGTGAAGTCTCCACACAGCGTGATGTTGCCATTATGGCTGCTATCACAGGTTAGACAGAATTTACGTTTTATATATACTATGTGTAATGAGAGAGAAAAGATTATGAATCGTCTTATCATTACAAATGCCTTAGATCAGCCACAACAATTTAAGGTTGACTAACAACCCAAATATACTGTGCTACCGAAAATATACATTTCTTTTCTCTAGGTAGCCCTACTGCCATCTCTGGTTTAGCACCGAGCTCGCCCGTGTCGGCGTCAGTGTCAGCCCTCACAGCATCGATGGCAGCCTCCACAGAGGGGACCCCACAACGTGGCTCTCTAATCTACGACCTTAAACACCTTCGCCGAACCTCAGCCAGCCCAGCAAACAAAGACAAAAGCAAGGACAAAGACCGACATAGGAGACTCTTCAAGTTATCTGCACGTTAGTAGATAATTACTTCTTTATAATGTCACCTGATGGGAAGCAATCGGTGCCGCCCATGGACACCCCGTAACATCAGAGGACGGTTTATTGTCGAGGTCGTGACATCACCCCGATTAAACCAACCCATTTGTGCCAAAGCATGGCTCTGCAATTTAGATTTTTTGCACATCTTTTGTTTCTCAGACTCTGTAAACTAAATGTTTAAAAAGATTCCCGTGAAACGCATCGTACGTAGTGTAAAAAACGCCATACATTAAACTAGTCGGTATCTTCACCGAGAGAGAAACTTTTTGTAGACGACAGACGTAATGTCATTATCTTCATGTTCAATACTGACATATACAGAACCTGGATAAGACTCAATGAATAATACTTATTGATGGTTTTTCATTTTGCCTCGACATAGTGCTGAAATGTTCCAACTAATGCAATCAGCTTCGCTGTCGCAATTTAACTAACCAACTTGATATTGACAAATATTCTATTTGGACTGAAGCTCCGTCAACCTCTAGTTGCCCCTAGCATGCGGCACGTGCCTCAAAGAGCCATCAGACTACCACAGATGGCACCCATTTGGGATAATGCCACGGAAGACTTAATGTGTTACCGGGGCTTCGGCTCGAAGTGGGAGTAAGAATGGGTCGTGGTTTGTTAGTGGGTGAGGCGGGAGGCAGTGTCAGACTCTTACTGACTAAAAACCACCCCGTTCCTACTCCTGCACGTCGAGCCGGAGCCCCGGTAACCCGTTAAGCTCTCCGCAGCTCCGTATTGGCATCGGCCCTATTGGGCCCTATTCGTGGTGGTCTGATGGCTCTTTGAGCCGCGTAGGAAGAGACCAGGAGTAAGAAAAACCATTGATCTTACTTTAGTATTTATTGTTTTCAGTATTACATGACAAATTCAAGAGTCTAGTGAAAAATTTGACGACAGCTAAGCGCGCCGACACAACGATATCGACTACAAAGCACGCGACTAAAGCTGACTCAAAGAGTAAGTCGGAACTTACTATCTTCTGGCCTTTTCTAATTTTACTGCAGGCTAGACTTACCCAGTTCTTGTGTGTCAGTATTGTACCTCTATAATTATGTAGCTACTGACATCTGCCCTCCACTACCCGTTAAATCATATCACATTTTTAAAAATGACTAGCTACTCACGCCCGTTTCACCAGCTTTACGCGGCTCCTATTCATCGTAGCGTGATGTATGCCCAACCCAGTACAAAAAAAAATCGAATACAAGCAGTAGTTCCAGAGATTAGCGCGTTTAAACAAACAGACAAACTCGTCAGCTTTATACATAGGTATAATAAGTTATTATAAAAATAAAATAAAATTATCATGGTTTTGGTTAGATTCGTCATTTCTGTGTCATACACTCTGTGGCATTAATATAAAACTTTTTGAATTTATTGTTATGAATTATTTTAGTTCTCCATCCGTTGTCATGATTTCTGTCCGTTAACATCCGACTCCCAAGTCATCAATGAAAAATTCACAAGAGAAGAACAGTCGGTTATTATGTTTATTCATTGTTATGTGTATTTGCAGGTGATTCAACCCAAACCACGCAACATAGAGCAAAGAAGAAAGAAAAAGAAGAAGACAGAGACGATTTAAAAGCTGAAGGAATAAGCATTACTTGCGGGCCAAAAGAAAACAAAGAGGTAGATCACTCTCTTTCTATGAAAGTAGAAGCTAGTCATTCTAGAAATAAAGAATCGCCTATAAATAAGTCCAATCAAAAACTAAAGTAAAAGAAGATTCCAAAAACCACCATAAGTAGCAAAAGCCGAAGAATTTCTTGAAGATAGTTCTACCTTAAAAATAGAGATAGATGCTGCATACTCTCCTCTCGCAGGATCATGGCACTCCAAAAGATTCAGGTGACTCCCTTCCTTTGCCAATGATCGGAATTAGGTGAGCTTTTTTAAACAATTTTATACTCAACTAAAACCCTCTTTCTGCCTCCATTTGTAACTCGCCAATTCTATGTCACAAACATTATCAAAGAAAATTGAGCCTTAGTGATATGTAAAAGTAAAGTTGATTGTCAAACAGCTCCCTAATTCCGATCATTGTTGATAGCAGAAGGAGGATCTGAAGTGTACGAAGAAACATCCACTTAACCCGAAAACAACGACCACAACAACACATCACAAGGAAAAAGAGACCGAGGTTGAGACTGAGGCAACGACTGAAACGCAGAAGCCACACTATAATAAGTGCTTGGATCGTAAAGGCCACGTGGTCCATGACCTACCAAACGAACCCATTTACATAGAGCCTGACAACTACAGCGAACAGGTGAGGCCAACGAAGGTATTTTACAATCTCCCCTATAAATCTTATTGTCTTTTTAAATTTACCCCTGTCACTGTTGTAAAATGTACAGTTTTAATGATAGTAAATTATTTCTTTGTTTATAGGAATACTATGAACTAGGGCCGCAGCACCACGATCCGACGCCTCCGCCACCGCCCTGTCCTGCTGAAGCAACCTTCTTCGGCAATCACATCGAGATCAAGCGAGACCTCCAAACGCAACAGAATACCTTCACAGCCAAAGACGTAGCAGCCTTAGAAGTGATCGTAGATCTCATGAAGAACACCCTCAGCTATGAGGAGAAGGATATAGCCAGCGTCTTCCAAACAAACAACTACATGGCCCTACCACACGCCACAAAGTCCATACATCCGTCCAACGAGAGCACAAATGCCATTCAAGTCCACATCGCTATTCCCTTCGACTTCCAAACTGGCAAGAAAAGATCTCCTCTTGATCCAGTGAGAGTGAGGAAGGTGTTCTCAGCTAAAATGTCAACGCCTGTCGACCTGGAATACCAAGTTCATTCGTTTGAGGGCACTGTCGATCCCACGACAGAGTCCACTGTCACTACCACCAACAAAAGTACCACCGCTGCTGTCACCTCCCACGTGAGCGTAGAAGGAGCGCTGTCACCAGGCATGTATCTCTTAGTCGACAAACCAAAATCTGGTTTTGCTCTTAAACCAATCAAAGGCAAAATAAATTTATCCGATTTAAAAACGCGGCAAGTACCAGCTACCACTGCTAGCATGTCAGAATCAAAACCAACTGAAACTAGAGAAGAAACTAAGAGCATAGCAAGAGTGACGCTGAGCAAAGACTTCATAGCAGCGTTCAATAAACAACTGATACAGATGTACGAAAACGTGAGCCGAGCGACCCTGGAGCACTCTAATAAGCCGCGGAATGAAAGGCAAATTTGGAAATCTCGAGAGATAAAAGCAGTGACCGAGGAATATACAGGTGACGAAGAAAAATACGTGTTCAAGAGACGCATTGACTGGGACGCTGTCAAAAAGTATTTTGGACATGATAGAGTTTGTAACTGCAAGTGTAAAACTGATAAGGCGATGTGTAAAGCGTGCGCGGCTAGCGACGCTGTTATAGACGAACTTATATTTGAGTTCGACAATATAGGCCAGTACATGAAGGACCACTGCACGGAAATACAAACGTTCTTCTGGATGAACCCTGGTGGGGGACAGAAGCTGAGAGACTCGGTGAGCAGGATCGACAAGAGTTTGGCCGACTACTACAAAAGAGTCAGAGGAAAGTGCCAAGGAAGAACTTGCAAGACTTTTACTACTTACATTGACAAGAGACAATTATTGGTGAAAACTTCAAAAGAGACCAGACCAGATTCTTTGACACACATGAACAGTGAGTTAGCAGTTCTCGCAGACGACTTGGACAAAACTGTGTCCTTACAAGCATGCTTCAATCAAAAACTTATAGAAGAAGGCGACAAGTTTATCAATATACTAAATAAATGTATTATGAAAAATTCAATAGAGAAGCGATCAAACACGCCGCAGAGTCCACCGAAGAAGAAATTGATTAAAAACGTTTACTCCCTCGACAATATCAATGTTAATATCATTTGTAATCCAGAAAGTCCTTCTTCATCTGAATCGTTTGAGCACACGTCATCACTCGCACCACATCAAGACATCACGTCATCACATCTCAACGATCCACTCTTCGACTACGTTCTTGCAGAACCTAAACACAAGAAGCGCAAAGGATTAAAGAAGTTGTTTCCGCGCAAGAGTAAAAAGAAGTTTTTCACATATTACACTTCAGACTACACTAAGCGACCACGTCTGCACTTCAAACGGCAGGTGAACTACGGCATGATGACTCCATTGATATCTGACGGTGGTGGCGCATTCTGGTATGATTATATAAAACCCAGCACAAACGAACCCCGCGTGGCCAGAGAATCGAAACAAGATAAATCCATTCAAATCGCTGTAGTACAGAAAGAGGCGAATGGGGCGCCAAAAATCCAAAAGATAATGGACAAATCCGTTCGACATCCTTCTTCGAACTCTTTGTTTATGACTGTGAAGACTACTCCAAAGAGAGATTTCAGGGACACAGAAACTACGATCGATTACTTGACGCACAACATCAATCAATTACTGCAACTGTTTGGGAGTCTACAGGACATAGAGACAATGAATAAGAACTCTAACAGATCCACAATGTTTTTAAATCACACGGCAAAGCTTAAGGATGATCAGACTAGTAAAATTCACACTGATTTAGATAAATCAACGCTAGAAAAAAAATCAACTAAATGCATTAAAAAAGTCAAAACCAAAATGCATTATAAAACCGATACTACGACAGAAAAACCTACAACTACTACACTGAAGGCGAAAACAACAACAACAACCCAACAAACCACACTGACTACTGAACACACGGGAAAACAAAGCGAAGAAAATGATAAAGATATCACACTAAAAGAAAAACAAATGCAACCAAATATAAAAGAACCGGTCTTGAAAGAAAAACAAATAGAACAACATGAAAAGGAATCTGAGTTAAAAGAAAAACAATCTGGACAAAATGAAAAACAATTTGAGCAAAATTATAAACCTCCTGAATTAAAAGATAAACAATTTGAACAAAACGATAAGCTTTCCGAAATAAAGGACAAACAATTTGAACAAAACGACAAACCTTCTGAACTTAAGGATAAATCATTTGAACAAAAAGATAAGCAATTCGAACCAAATGACAAACAGTCTGATCAAATTGATAAGCCGTCAGAATTAAAAGAGAAACCTTCAGAACTAAAAGACAAACAATTTGAACTGAATGATAAACCTTCTGAACAAATTGAAAAACCCTCTGAAATAAAAGAAAAACCATTTGAACAAGGTGAAAAACAAACTGAACAAAATGACAAACAATCTGATCTAAGAGAGAAACAAATTGAACAGAGCGAAAAACAACCTGATCAAATTGATAAACCGGCTGAACTAAGAGACAAACAGTCTGGCCAAATCGATAAGCAATTTGAACAAAATGATAAGCCTGCAGAACTAAAAGGGAAACAGATTGATCAAAACGACAAAACTTCTGAAGAAATCGATAAACAATTTGATGCAAATGACAGATCTGATGGGGTGACAACTAGCTTAGACACTAATTTTGATTCACTGGATACATTGGAATCGAAGATAGAGAACGGAACATCAAACTGCAAAACAACAAATGCGACCGCAAACACAACTGCAGCCCCTGAACCTAAGAAGCCTAACTGTAAACAAAAATGTCCACCAAATCCCCTAAATGCCAGCGATACTATAATCATACGGGATACGACCAGTCTGCTGATGGGCGGGAAGTCCAGCAAAGATAAAACAACCAAACTTGGAAGCATATCCACCACTATAACCCCTGCAAAAAAGTCAAGTTTGCAAACGACTACAACAAAAAAGGATGAATTTGCGGATCCTAAAGCACCAGTTTTTGAGGAGGGAGAAACTACCACGCAAGTAACTACGACGACAACAACATCTAGGAGTTTCTTAGGCAAACTGAAAACGGCTACGTTGAAGTTTTTCGACAGCGTCACTCATAGGCCAAAACATCCTCAGAAAACAGTTAAAACAACCACTGTTACTACTACCGAGACAACTTTATCCACACGAGCAATAGATAAAATTAGCAGCACAGAGACTGACCCTATGTATTTCGATGACACTCAAGTCACTACACGTATAAGTCCAACTATAGTCATAATAAACGAATATGACAATCAGATTAACAGCGATATTTTAGACGATCCAAATAAAGACGTGAATGGATATAGAAATTTGTTACTGTCCATAATACAGTATGAAACGAATAAACTAAATGATGAATGGCATAGAATTGCTTATGGCGATACAGAGGAGGTTGGTCTTAAAAGGAGTGTTTCGCAGATAAATAGACAAACAACCACAACTACGACAACCAAGTGAGTTAAAAACTTAAACTTATTTTGAGTAGATAAGAGCAATAATAGTACACCTTGTATGTGTAAATGTAGGTAGAACTGCGCTGTCAAATCGTTTATTGACTATTTAGTATCAGAATTTTAGCCATCGTACACTTTAAATAAAATATTATATTCTTTATAATCTTCTCACTGCAAGATAAAAGCCTCCCCACTTTATTCATTCTCGTCTCTTCGAATCCTATCTATTCACTATCTTCTGCAGTCAATTCTAGCTGAAACAAAATTCATATTAAAGTCTAAATCAGGAAATTTTCATCTTCCAATAATGTGGGAACATCCCATTTCAATTTCTAATGGTCCCCATACTTTCAGATCAAATAAGAAGCCAAAACTAAAAGTGGCGACTGCTGCTGATGAAGAATATGATGTCATCGAGGGCATGAAGGCTTTAAAGAACCTGGAGATACCAGAACCTACGGCGAAGACCCGGAAACCAGCAGGTCTACTCAATAAGATTGTTAACAAAATGGGAATTAAAGTGGTAACTCCCGAGAAAAAGCAGGTAAAACCTCGTTTGTAAGTCGATACTTTCCTATTTTTAGGCCATCTCGGTCTTTTGCCTTTTTGGTATTTTGTAACTTTGATTGTTCAAAGGCAGTCAAGAAGCCTACCCTTAGGGAGGTGGGGAGCCGCAAGAAGCTGAATAGGAAGCGACGACTGAAGCTCAACAGCTGGAAGATGGAGCCTTCCACCATGCCGGACATTGAAAGTAAGATATCGTCTACACAAACGTAATAATTTATATTATTATCCCTGTATTTTAATATAATGACTTTGCAACCCTCGCCCCTCTGAATGAGAGTCATTTTTGAATTTGTTGGTCAACTGGTCGAAGTTCGGTCACAAGAAGTCCTAGCCTCAATTTCTGGGATTCCGGATATTTACAATCATACATAACCTTACGCCTGTCTCCTATAGGTAGACAGAGACTATGGAGCGCTAATAGCTACGATTCTTTTATGCCGATTATTTAGAACTACCTACCATGGCAACTCATTTCACACGGCTATCATTATGAATAGACCTAGGAAATCTTGAGATAAACCCACACCAGTTGGCCAACGACATATTCATTGTTGTTAGATGTTTGTTAATTTTTTACTCTCTTTCCATTAGACAGCCCCCGGAAATGCTCACAATATCTTATCCTACGTTGGATAAGAAGCATTCCCGGAGGCTGTCCCCCTTCAGTCGATTCTCAGGACGAGAAGCAACTGACCCTAACATCTCACAGTTGTTTTTCTTCCCCAGATCGGCAAAGGAAGGTAGTGGTATTATATTTCCCGAATTTAACACACGTGCTTTGTTTCAAGAGGCCTGTGATACTCGTCGGACACCCAAAACAAGTCAGATTTGTGACATACAGGCCACCATTGACCACATCAAGCTACTACAAAAGAAAGTATCGAAGGAAGCTTTCGAGATCTTAGTCAAAAATATATCTTGCTACAAATACAAAAATGTTGAACATGAATTCTTTATTCCATACCAAAAAACGGGAAAGAGGTGGGATTGGATTCGCAATAAGAGATGTCTCAGATTACAAGTCGCGAAGTTCATTGATGATGAGACAGAACTCGATGATCAATTCGATGTCGTGAGGTTTGATGATGATTCGAGTGATTCGTTTGAAAAGTACGTTAAAGGAGACGATGGGGTTTATAAAATAATTACGAGGAGGAAGAGAGGAGCTAGTTTGAAAGCTTTGGATGTAGGATTGAGGAATATACCGCCTTTGAAGCCTGCAGAGGTAAGTTGATGTGAGCATAGCTGAAATTTTGTGCAGTTCTCAAACTTGAAAACTTAAGTGTTAGAATCAAAACCTATGTTATAGTAAACAGCTCATTGACTCAGATCTGGACACATGCCATGCAACAAATTCGCGTTTTTAATGAAAAAATATACTTCGCCCAACTATGAGGTGTGTGGAGTTGTCGAACATATGCATCACTTGTTAATGGTATGTGTTCGACATGAGACTTAGGTATAGGTTGCTCGGGGACTTAAAGTTGATATAGATGCATTCCGTATGAATGAACTGATATTAACCGAGTACTGATAGTGCGAGAATGTTGTCCAACTTTATAGCTCTGATTCATGATCTTTGGTATATTTATACACTTATTATGCTACAATGAAATAAAAAATTTAATCAAAACCACTAAAGCAACATGATTGAAGCAAAGCTGACATTTTGGGGATATTAATTTTTGATCAAATAACTTAACTTCAAACCAAATTACGGATTCATAGTCATAAACAGCATTGTGCGACATGTGTGTAATAATGCGGGTCACCTCGGCTAGTCACATGTGTAAACCGTAAAATACAATTAACATATAGCCACCATTTCAGAATGAAATATACATCATGGTAGGAGACTCGATAACACTGGACTGTGTGCCGTACATCACCATAGCGTCACCCAACAAGTTCCACTGGCATACTGAGAGGAAAAGGATGCTTGCTCATGATAATGTCAAGGTTGAAGGCATCAAGGTCACAATACTTAATGCAGAGCCAAAGAATATGGGGAGCTATACTTGTAGTATGGTAAGATATGCTTCAAAGTGCAGGAGTAGGAACGGGGTGGTTTTTAGTCAGTAAGAGTCTGACACTTCCTCTATTTCCCTCTATCACTGTACAATATTTTTCACCCTAAAAAGCACTCTTGGATCATCATCATTATCATCTGTTGATCACTGCTGAGTAAAGCATCTTCTCACACGGAGGTTTGAGCATTAATCACCACACTTGCTCAATGCGGGTTAGCGATTTCAAACTTATAATTAGAAATTACAAGCCCAGGTTTCCTCACGATGTTTTCCTTCGCCATTTGTCAGTGGTGTTTAAATAATCATAGAAAGTACGTTTAATTCATAAATTGTCACATTGCTTGCCGTTGGTAAGTTTCGAGCTCGCACCCACATGCATGAGAAGCGTCTTAAACCTATGTGTCATCTTATCACTAACTGCCTATTCTTTCTTAATTATCTTTCTATCATCTTCACACGCTTCTTCTCGTATCAACGTTTTTGTCTTTGAGATCTTTCATCAACTAAAATTTCTTGGTATGATGTTATGATCTATGATATTAGGGTATATACGGTTGTTTTCTAAGCAGAGTTTTCTAAGAGTGGAAAATCATCGAATGAATCCTCCCGCCTGAATAAGACGGGAGCGAATGTCTCTTACTGACTAAAAACCACCCTGTTCCTACTCCTACACTTCGAACTAAAGCCCCGGTAACCTTTTACATTCTCCGCGGCTCCGTATCAGCATCAGTCCTTTTAGCCCCCCCATCCGTGGTGGTCTGATGGCTCTTTGAGGCGCGCGCGGAATGCGACGCGCTGTACGCTCGGGTCTGATTCTGATCGCAGACCCGTGCTTACGGTGGCTGGAGATCGTCCCGCGATCCCCGACGCCACAGTGTCCTTCGCGACGACTGGGTTGTGAGGAGGATGATGATCTCTGCCTCACGCGTCCCGCTTCATAAACAGAGCTGTGATAGTAGTAGAAATAAGAAGGAGTTTCATCGGAAAATAATGTTTTATTTATTCTTAATTATCAGGATCAGGCGGTGCAGAGACGGGTGCAGCTGATCGTGATGACGATACCAGAGTACGACGTGGTGTTCATGCCCGTGTACAAGACGGAAGAAAGCTGTTCTTATGATGTATGTTACCCATGTTTCGTACCTTTAAGTAACTCCCATGTTATAAGTTCCTAATAACGCAAGAAGTGTAACAATTTCTTTTTAGAAAACATGATATAGGTCTTGTCATTAAGAACAATTTGTTCTTCTGTAGGACCTGAAAGCTATCCAGGAATTGGGCCCGCTGATGAGTAAGGAGTCAAGGTGTGGGAAGACCTGCTCCATAAGGATAGACGAACCAGTCTGCCAGAGAGACAGGGTACGTTGACCATTTCTTATTGTCTGTACAAGGATTAAAGTAACAGTCTATAAGTGGCCACTTCTAAGCCTCTTCTCACATGGAGAAGGTTTGAGCATTAATCACCACGCTTACTCAATGCGGATTAGCGATTTCAAGCTTATAATTGGAAATTATCAACCCAGGTTTCCGACTTGCCTCATTGGCCGAGTGGTCGCAAGAGCGGGCAAGGGGTCTCGGGTTCGATTACCGGGTCGGGCAAAGTATTACTGGGGTTTTTTTAATTCTCAGTAATAGCGTGGAGTCTGGAATTGTGCCCGGTATATGGTAATAGGCTCGACCCCTATTACATGGGACTCATAACATAAATAGTGAAAAGTGGGTGTTACATTCCACAGTGGCATAATGTACACAGTGTTGTTATGTTAATTCTTCTCCCCTCCAGGGTACGAACAGTTCCCTCCTCCGGTCGACGGCAGTGATTTCCATGACTCCAAACCACCGCGTGAACTGCAGCCTGCAGTGTAGGAGAGACATCGCTTCCTCCATCGTCATGCTATCTGCTGTCAACACTCCGTATCTCACCGATATTGCTGGTAAAAGATTTGAAGATTTTTTTGACTAGTGTACTATACATTTGTCGTCATGTCTACTGTTCCTGCGGGGTATGTACCTAATAGTCTATATAAAGGACTATTTAAGGAAGTGGCAGCTGCTGCAGAATAGTCCTAATACTTTATGGATAACTCATCTTTTGTAAAGTATACCTATAGTCCATAGAGTCTTGCAAGTTGTCGTTGATGTTAATAATTATTGTTCTAAAACTTCTCCTATTCTTTCAGCGGGAGACTTGTTGAGCTCATCATCCTTTTGTTCCCCTTTTTCAGTGGTATTGTCAAAGGATGGAGTCAATGAGACTCTGAGACCCTGGAGGCATTTCGTCAGACCCGTCATCACACATTCTCTCAGGAAAAAAGGTAATATCTGTCTACCATATTTGTATTCGCCAACCAGTGCCTGCAGACTGCCTCATTGGCCGAGTGGTCGCAAGTGCGACTGCCGGGCAAGGGGTCTCGGGTTCGATTCCCGGGTCGGGCAAAGTATTACTGGGTTTGTAAAAACCTCAGTTGTAGCACGGAGTCTGGAAATGTGCCCGGTATATGGCTATAGGCTCACGCCTTATTACATGGGACTCATAACATAAATAGTGAAAAGTGGGTGTTAAATTGTACAGTGGCATTAAGTGCCGTAATGTGCACCTCTGCCTACCCCTTCGGGGATAAAAGGCGTGATGTTATATTCATATTTGTATTCGCTATTTCTCAGTGTGTGTCGTATGAATGTTTGTGATTTCTGCAGATACGAACGGCCACCATGAGTACCATAAGCTGGTGTCGACCCTGTCTCCCGGCAAGGTCGATGTAGTGGTCAACTGTCCCGCTGGATACTACCTACTGCCCGAGTCTAAAGTCTGCTGTAAGATCACATAGAATTTATTTATCATGGACTTTATACCATTCTGCCTTCATCATTACAAAAATAGAACCGAGAGAAGTGGAAATTATAATATTCTTTCTCTTCAACTCCAATGATATTATATCTTCAACATAGGGTTCTTAATGAGGGCAGTGAATAGGTTTGTTTAAGGGTCGGCAAGACGCATGTAATGCCCCAAGTGTTGCAGGCGTACATAGGCCACGGTAACCACTTACCATCAGGTGGGCCGCTTTATTTACCACGGTCGTGGTAGATATCATTGAAAGGTCATTGAAAACGGTATATATGTATCTGTGTCTCCTATATATCCTGGTGTACAGGGGTAGCAGTGTTTGGAAAATATCTTCGCTATTGGTCAGACAATATGCACTTCATCTGGTCTCTCTGTACCCATAGACTAAGGATAGCAATAGAAATCTCTAAAACAGATTAAAAATTCTATGAATAAGTGTGGGAGAGCCATGCTTCGGCACGAATGGGCCGGCACGACCTGAGTGATACCAGGGATTCATAGAAAACCGACGTGAAGCAACGCTTGCGTTATGTTTCGTCGTGTGAGTGAGATTACCGGAGGCCCAATCACCCTCCCCTTCCCCAATCTCCCCAATTCCTGAATCCCCAACGATCCTCAAACTCCTAATCCCCAAAAGGCCGGTAATGCACTTGTAACGCCTCTGGTGTTCCAGGTATCCATGGGCGACGCCGACTGCTTACCATCAGGTGATCCGTCTGTTAGTTTACCAGCTTACGCCATTAAAAAAAAAATCCTACTGCCCACAGCATCCTGCCCTCCAAACACGAGTTCGAAGCGTGGAGACAACACCTGCAGTAGCTGCCCCCGCGGCACGAGAGCCGAACCCGGAGCCTCTCAGTGTCAAACCATCAAAACACCCCCGCGAAGGTATGATGTACGTACTTTTATCTCATAACAAGCTGTGCTAGCGGCTTCGGTTGTGCGCGATATTGAAACATGAACCAAAATAGTCCAGCATTTTTCAAGATAACATCGTATCAACAGCCTATAAATGTCCACTACTGACCAAAGGCCTCTTCTCATACGGAGAAATGAGTAATGATCGCCATGCTTGCTCAAAGCGGGTTAGCAATTTCAAACGATAACGATACGATACCTGAGAATGAGTAGAGATAGTTTATCAGTCAGTACATAGGTCTACAGTTTTACAAGTTCAGAACTGAATCCCACTTTTGAAGATCACTTGGGATTGTATTTTTTGCAGTGGTGGTGGTATCCTCCTTGCGGGTACTTGGTGGCTTGTTGTAGCGTCGTGTTCGGTTGCTCCATGTGTATCATGCTGTCCGTGATCGTCCACATCATCTCCCGAGACATGGACCCCGTGGAGGTCGAGTCCAGTGACGGGGGGCGCGCACGTACACGTGAGTTGGTTTTGAGGACTATATTGGTATATTGGCGGCTGGCGGGTTATTTTCGAGGTTGTCACTGTTCCACGATCAAAATTACAAACTGATCTTAATCGACTGCCTCGTTGACCAAATGGTCTCGGGTTCGATTCCCGGGTTGGGCAAAGTACTACTGGGTTTTAAAAAATTCTCAGTAGTAGCACGGAGTCTGGACTTGTGCCCGGTATATGGCAATAGGCTCACCCCCTATTTATTACATGGGACTCATAACATAAATAGTGAGAAGTGGGTGTTACATTGTACAGTGGCATTGTACACTGCCTACCCCTTCAAGGATAAAAGGAGTGTTGTTATGTTATGTTATGACTTAATCGATAATCTCTGGGTGGATCATGGTTTTTACCAGTATTTAAATTTAAATAGAGCTAAATGTCTAAGCTAATCGTCATTTCTACCACTGCTCTTGTTTTTTCAGTCTGCCATGATTCTCTTTTTCTATTCTTGTAGGACTACCTATAAGATATCAATTTGTCTCTATCATTTACAAGCTAACATTAGCAGTATGTATCAACTCCATGTTCTTTCCTATGCTGCATATATCAAAGATGGATTAACTCTTTCAGTCTTATGTCCAATTTCAATAACCTATCTATCTGTAAATTTGCTTACTAGAGATAGAATTTTGACACAAGCTCCATACAAAATGACAAAATTCTATCTCTAGTAGGTAAGCAAATCTACGTTATTGAAAGTGGCTGTTAGTGGTCACTGTAGCCAACCACCTTTTCTTAGAAATTCAATTTTTGAAGTATGCTGCAAATATGTTTTTAAGCAAATCAGTATAATTAAATAAAATATATTCGTAATCAGTTAGAAGTATGACTGAAAAAGTTAACCGATTTTCTGCTTTAACCCCGTTTTATACTGATGGCGATAAAACAAATTATAGAGCGCCACCTCATACTTCTTTATCGTCCATCACTGTTATACCGCCAATCAAAAGTGTTCCGCACGTGGCGGGATTTTCTATTTGTTTAATTCGACAGATTTATTCGTCATGAATACATTGCAGCGAAGACGGCGACCAGCGTCATGGCTGCGTACGTGCACACTCACACGCGACCTCTGTCGCCCTCGCGCGTCATACTCCCTCGCTTCTTCAGACCTTCCCTGACCTCTTCCCGAGCCACCGGTGAGTCTATTCGTATGTATAACATTTTTGGACTGAGCTGATGATATCTGTAGTAGGTTAAAAATACTGCCTCGCTGGCCGAGTGGTCGCAACTGCGACTCTGTGCGACTGCCGGGCAAGGGGTCTACTGGGGGTATTACTGGGTTTTTAAAATAAAAACAAATCTCAGTAGTAGCACGGAGTCTGGAAATGTGCCCGCTATATGGCAATAGACTCACCCACTATTACATGGGGCTCTTAACATAAATAGTGAAAAAGTAGGTGTTACTTCTGTGTGCATCTCTGCCTACCCCTTCGGGGATAAAAGGCGTGATGTTATGTTATGTAGGTTAAAAAACTGTTCTTCCTATCAAATAGTATTAAAATTGTCCAGTCAACAGTATACAGTTAGTAACTATGTTGTTAAATGTTCACTAATAAATTGTCCAGTCAACAGTATTATGAAACTATGTTGTTCAAGGTACCTTTTGAAACCGATTTCCTTCATCCCCCAGATTCACAAGAAACGAAGTTCGAACTATGGAAAGAAAGAAACATTCCACCGCCGTTGCCGCCAATCGATTTTGACATTTGAAACTGCCGCCATTTTGTACGGTCAAGATGACAGTGACAGTTGTAAACGTCAAACTTAGCAATTGTGACTTGGAATAATAATTAGAGTTTAGGTAAATTGATTGATTTATCAATCTAAAATAGATGATGACGCACTTTTCCCAAAAATATGATTCGATGTTTGTATTTTCTACAATCAATTTGTCGGTCGAATTTCGTGTTTTAATCTCACGGGGACGTGTACAGATGAGTCAGCACTTCGGAACCCTTCAACTGTGAAATTGCTTTCATTAGGTTTTTGACTTTATTTCAAAAGAGTTTGAGTTGAAAATCTGTAAAGAAATTGAGCAGATTGTAGCGTGTTTTGCTGTCTATACTTACGTTAAGATTTAAAACTATACAGTGAAGATTCGTTGTACCGATTGGTTGCCATGAAGTATTAACATTTATAGAAACGTTTTTGCTCTTAAGTCTTGAAAACCATGTGGTCAATGTAAGTAGCTTTTCCGATGACTTTTCGCCATACCGCACTTGATAATTTGCCGAAACACAATATTTATTATAACTGTGTACAAGCCCTTTTGTATTTAAGTGTATTTTAATACTTTTAGATATAGTATTTTAAGGAAGCGCTATAGTTATGTTATATTTTATAAGTATTCTTTTGTCGTCCGCACTGATGCTTTTGGTAAGTTGTAATAAAGTTCAGTGGTGTTACCAGGCGTTTTATTTATTTTACCCTAATCCACAATGGTTCCCCTACTATCATACACGTCAGCCTTTGAGCGAGAACACAATAATGTTACATTGAAACGCCACCCAGCCAAAACGTCACTCGAACTTATGAGCTCCAAATGAATAATATATAATTGAAAAATATAAATGAATTATATATAATAGCTTCTTATTTTATTTGATTTTTAAACGTTGCCCCACTTTAGGATTTCCTCCTGTGTCGTGGGTGCGTTTAAAAACAAGTTCACATACACATGATACCCAGACCCAGAACAACAATCTGTGGATCACACAAAGAGTTGTTCCGTGCGGGGATCGAACCCGCTACACGTTTTAAGCCCCGTATATGGTAAACATTTATTTAGGGACAATTGATCAACATTGTTGGTGAGCACTGAGCAGTGAGAATGATGCTAGCAACTATGTTTAAATCGATACAGGTTGTCTACATGCCAGTCTGCGTTAAAATGTTGCCCGAGGAGGTAGTGGTATTGTCGATAGCAACACGATACGATTACTATACGATGGTTGTCAAAATCATTCGTGCTTACGGCATTTAGTTCCTTTTACGCACGGTAGGGGCGCTGTACAAATCCCATAGAAAATGCTTTCGATGTCGATACGAATACTTTCTCGATAGTTTTCGTGCTAGCCACACTGATGTTTATGCTTGTCGGGCGAGAGCTTGTCAATATGATGCTATCAACTCTGTAACACGCAGTGTTGCTAGCAACATAGCAACATGTTGACAGCAATTCCGTAAAGCCCCGTATTCATGGTAAACATTTGTTTAGCAACAAAGTTAAATCAACGTGTTGCGGAATTGCTGTCAACATGTTGCTAGCAACACTGCGTGTTTTTATGTTAGTATCTTAAATCTACTATAGATTCGGCCTACAGGACTTAGGGCTCGTACAGCAAAAACGTGCGAGCTCCCTCTACGCATCGCAAGAACTTGTGAATTGATTCGCATCGCGCATTAAAATCTTATCTTCCCAAAATCGCAAGCCCAAGCTTGCAAGCCTTTTGGTTTTCTACCGGATACATTTCGGTGAGTGTGCAGGGGATTTGCACAACTTGATTCCCCCTAGTCCTTTCCATCATCGTTCCACAAGACAATCGGCGAAGCGTCACTGATTCATGGTAGATGTCCCACCCACACGCAAGAAACGCTTCGCTTCAAGCTTCCTTGTGGTTGTGCGCACTGCAAAACAGTGGAATTCTTTACCAAGGTCTATTTCCTGAAGGGTATAACCTGGGAGTCTTCAAGGCCCGAGTGAATAGGTTGCTTGTGGGACGACGTGCTCCATCGTAGACCGCATCATCGCTTACCACCAGGCGAGATAGTGGTCAAACGTCGCCTCATCAAATATATAAAAAAAAATAGAAGGGCACACTTCTTTTTCGATCCATGTCACGACCTAGTTTTAAATTTAAAAACTGATTAGTACAGTTGACGGTCGTCGAAGGAATGGTCACTCCGGGAGACACCTTGTTGCACAAAATCGCAGTTTTGTGTTCGAGCCCTGAAAAACCAATGGTTCTGAAAAACCGGTATGGCAACTGCATCAGGTACCTGGCAACCAATATGACTTACTATAAACGATCGACTATCACTGGCTCCATGCCACTCGTCCAACGTGTGTAGCTTAAAGATACTCCAACACAAAGGCCTCTGCCTCGAATTTTGCGGGAAGCGGTGCGGCGCGCACCAGTTGACTGGAGTGCACCGCTCGTTGTCCGCTCCCGCGCCGCTGTTTTTGAGAACCAATCCATTTGATTTTACGCATAAGATCCTGCCGCTCCCTCGCTGCCGCCGCCGCCACACCGCTGCCCGCAAAAATTTGAGGCAGAGGCCTAATGAACGGCCAAGCCTGGCCGGGCTTAGCGCCATTGTTTGGGTCTGGTTTCGTCGCTTTGAATAAAACGGCGAAATAACATCAAAAATACATTTTATTTACAAGTCTTCTCATCTTTCTTGACTTCCTTCTTTTTGAATCTATCTTTAACATCCTTCCAGAGTTTGTTCTTGTTGAGGTGTTCAAATATGGCTAGGGAGATCATGTCTAACCCTCTTTCGAAGAAAAACGTGCATAGTGTCGCCACAAGAAAATAAGTCGAAGTTTTCTTGAACAAAGTACGATTTACAGGAGCCCAAATCGCCATTCCTTTATTGTTATATTCGTTTCGTTTGTTATGTAAAATAATAAAGCTTTCAATACAGTTCTGACAGTTTTGTTTAATAGCAACTGTCAATAGATAGGATTTGACCGAAAAGGATAGACAACGAAGTATTATCGAAAGAAGTCTTTAATCTTTTAAGCCGGTAAACGAGCCGACGGATCACCTGATGGTAAGCAATCGGAGCGTCCATGGACACCCGGAACTCCAGAGGCGTTACAAGTACGTTACAGCCTTTTGGGATTAGGAATTTGAGGATTGTTGGGATTTAAGGATTGGGGAAATAGGGGGGGAGGGGTAATTGGGCCTCCGGTAACCTCACTCACACAACGCAAGCGTTTGGATTACCACCATGGGCACCATACACACATAAAAAATACAGTCGAATAGAGAACTTCTCTTTTTTTTCGATCTCTTTGGCTAGATTTGGTGTTACATTGTTCTCGCACAATCAAACCAATAAAACTGTGTAACTGAAAATTAGTCATCTACCCTATTAGGGTAGACGACTAATTTTTATTTTAATGTCCGTCTGGTAGATTATTTAAAAACATTAGACACGTATTTTTTCTTTTCTCACAGAAACGAATAGTTTCGAAGATATATCGATTTGAAATGTCGCGTGACGTCACTTCTCAGTACATTTTATACTAAGAAATGACGTTTTAGCCCCCACTCCTAAACTTTGATTCGTTTTATCTAAGTATTGTTTTATTATACGACAAAATAAAAAAATACGTGTCTAATATTTTTTCATTACCTAACTTACGGACTAATTATATTTTTAATTTTCATACCCTGTCATCATATCCTGTCATGTATTGTGAAACTGATTGGAAAAGAGTAACCTATGGAGTTTCTTGCTCGTTCTTCTCCATAGGAATCTACACCTTGGAATGAGCAAATAGCTTCATTTTTAAATTTCTATTGCTGACGTTCAAAAGTGCCTTCCTATTCTAATTGAAATAAATGATTTTTGATTTTTGACTTTTGACTTTTTGACTTTTTTAACAGAGTCATGTAAATAAAACACAAATATAGTGGAGATATGTATATTTTTAATACAAAATCTAACATAAGTCCCGTACAAATTACTTCTAAGTATTTTATAAAATCTAAATACAGTTATAGTCTTACGAATAACAATTCAATTCGTGATTTTCGCGTTTAATTATATTATAAATGATATTGATGTCTGAATCCATTGTACAGCCAAAGGTCAAAAGTCCACTGTCACCGTGAGTGATGTTCACACGGCAATGCGTAAGTAATTTCATACTAATGTGCATAAAAACTCGTGCGTACGCATAAACACACGCACGCGTACGCACACTGATACAAATATGCGTGTGCATGTGTGTATAAGCGCTGCAGCGCAACCGATAGCAGTCTTACGGTGGCAGTGGACTTTTGACCGTTGACCGCACATGTAAGGTACTGCTTTATTAAAAGAATTATTTAGTTATTTCAGCTTCTAAAGAAAATACATACATAACATCACGTCTTTTATCCCCGACGGGTTAGGCAGGGCACATTACGGCACTTAAAGCCACGACTGCCACTTAATGGCGGTAAGCGATGATGCGGTCTACGATGGAGCACGTCGTCCCATAAGCAAACTATTAAGACGGGCCTTGATGACACCCAGGTTACACTCTTAGGCAGGGTGCAAATTACGGCACTAAATGCCACTGTACAATGTAACACCCATTTTTCACTATTTATGTGATGAGGCCCATGTAATAGGGGGTGAGCCTATTGCCTTTTTTAACCCTTAATTAATAAAGCAGTACGCGGGGAAGAAATGTGCATCCCATATGTTCATAAGTTATAAGCCATATTACACACTATAGCACTACACTGGCGTGCAATAATATCAGGCCAATCTTCTATAGGAATGTCTCAGTTCGGTTTGTAATAATTTTCTTAACAAATGACCTGATATTTTTGCACCGCAATGTATTTATTACATGGCAGATATTTTAATGGAGGGTAGAAATAAGAAATCAAAGTTTATTTAAGTTATACAGACGGGGGTTACAATTCTTGCTCAAGAGATGGCGCTGATGGGCCTTAGACATTAACTATCCTGATTTTAACATAAAAACCGCGAGTTACTCACGTTAATATACTGAGAAAAGCTGCGTTACCGGCCTTTTGGGAATTAGGAATTTGAGGATTGTGGGGGATTCGGGGATTGGGGAGACTGGGGAAGGGGGTAATTGGGCCTCCGGTAACCTCACTCACACGACGAAACACAACGCAAGCGTTGCTTCACGTCTGTTTTCTGTTCGGCCGTGGTATCACTCCGGTCGAGCCGGCCCATTCGTGCCGAAGCATGGCTCTCCCACACATTCATTGTTTTTTTAAATATGTCAAAGTCAAAGTCAAAATCATTTATTTCAATTAGGCCAGAATGGCACTTTTGAACATCAATAAAAAGAAAAAGTCATCGAGTGATGTCGTTCGTCTCGGAATCACTTTAATTTGTGATCATCAAATCCGAGTGCACGTTCACTCTGTGCGCAGATAGTTCATTTTTTGTTCATTCGGAGTGGGAGTGAATGATGCCGTATGCCAAAATCGAACTTCGTTGAATCGAAGAACCCCTCTGTGGTTCGAAACTAGTAGAGCTTTTCTCAGTACATATATTCACGTGAGTAACCCGCGGTTTTACTTAATTTAGTGTGTCTCACGATAGTTATTATAAAAACATCGTTGGAACGGTTCATTAATGAATTCATTCTGCACTCTTGTTTCATTACCATGTTCAGACGTATACCATTTTTAGTGAAAGATGCTGAATGAAACACAAAAATAAACCCCACGATATCACATTTAGGGCTATTAGGTGAGCAAAAATAGAGTAGACCCCATGAAACACCCATTTATAGTTGATAAGCAATAAGATTGTTCTCCTTACCTCTACACTCCATTAAAACATCGAAAATATGCCTTAATTTAAATGTTATTGGTACACGAAAAGCGAGTAAAGACATAGGATAAAACTATATCATTAAAATGAAATAAAAACGCCTTTAACATCAGTATATTTTGGTTAACTATATTTTTTAATTATTTTTATTACGATTATGTGTAATGGCGTGCATAAGAACGGGGCAATAAACAGTTTTTATCACAGAATCGACCTTTCATTTTCATTTTCAAAATAAATAAAATGATAGATAGTACATACGGCCACACATCAATCTATACAAAACCAGTATATCCTGGTGTCGCGTCGCATCATCTTTCCGCACATTTACCGTTCAGTATATACTGGTTATGTAAAGCTCAATGCGTAGCCGTGTGTACAACGTTGTAATAATTACATGATTTCATGTTCTCGTTGTACATATACTTATATCACAATAGGTAAGTTTAGTTTCAAAAAATGACAATGCCAAATCCTGACCCAGTCATATTATCATTTACAAAAAAAGTAGATTGATGAAAATAATTTAGACGAATAAGGAACCTTTTCACAATTAATATTTTTATTTTTAAACTTGCGGTTTATAATTTAATAAAAAAATAAGTTCAATCCCGGAAAGACTTTTTTGCAATGCGTATTCCATATTGTCTAATGACTATTTGCGTTACATTATACGCATCGCTTGTACGAAACTATGAAAATAAAAAAGTAAGTAGCTGTAAAAAAAGATATCATTATACATAAAATATTATATCAAAAGTATAATTATGTATAACATTTATTAATTTATTAATAATTACAGATGAAATCACGAAAATATAAAAGAAACGATTACTATCATTAGTTATGATTTTTTTGTGTAACGAAACGTTTTGAAGCTCTCGTCAGCTGTCAGCTGTCAGTGTCAATATTATCTTTCATTCGCTCTCTGCGTTTCCGTTGTTTTCGTGTTATTAATCATTATTGTTTTGTATTTTAAACAAAAACCGCAAGTTTTACGGGTTTCAGGACGAATGTTTAGGTATCGGTAATTAATACACTACACGATGCTGAATACTGCATACTTGTACATGACTTCTAATATAGTGGGTCAAAGATGTACTGAGAACCTGGCATTGTCCTTTACTAATGTTCAATAAATTACGTATCATAACAACGCATGCACATCGTTGTCTAACACGAGAATTGAACCAGACTTTGGCAGTCGCACTTCCGATCACACGGTCAGTAAAAGGAAAAAGAAAATTACACATCAAAATAATGGGGATGATGACAGGGTATGAAAATTAAAAATATAATTAGTCCGTAAGTTAGGTAATGAAAAAATATTAGACACGTATTTTTTTATTTTGTCGTATAATAAAACAATACTTAGATAAAACGAATCAAAGTTTAGGAGTGGGGGCTAAAACGTCATTCCTTAGTATAAAATGTACTGAGAAGTGACGTCACGCGACATTTCAAATCAATATATCTTCGAAACTATTCGTTTCTGTGAGAAAATAAAAAATACGTGTCTAATGTTTTTAAATAATCTATCAGACGGACATTAAAATAAAAATTAGTCGTCTACCCCATTACTTTAGCAAAACAATATAGCTCTAAAGATAATAAACATAGCGATCAATTTCCTCTAGCAGATCAGCAGCGGTAACCAAATGCCATTTAGCGCTTGTCTACATGTAGAATAGAAAACCAAATTATATGGAATTGACGTAAATTTTGACACTTGTCAGTGTCATCCCCATACATTTTGATTTCTACTCTCTCTGTAGACAAGCGCTAAAGTGGCGTTTGGCTAAAGGCACAGTGTACATATGACCCCGTTTAAATGCACGCCATTGTACCCAACACCACGTAATAAAATAATAAGTACCAAAGTCTTTCACTTGCCACAATAAAATCACTTTCCAATTTACCTATGTGTGAGCGATCACTCAAAACGAACCAAAATTTTAAAAAAAATAATCACACAACTTCCCATTACCCAAACAGTTGCCAATGACTTCCGACTCCCGAAAAGTTTACTTGCAATTGGTATTTTAATAAG